GGTCATTTTGAATTGGGCGATAGCATGTAGAAGAGAGCTAGGACTGTCGTCACCTAAAGGTTTAGACGAATGGATGTTAAAATGCTGCCCTGCCTGAACCTCCTCAGAGCCCCTCAGCCTGGTACAGCAAGCCGTGCCCGATTTCCATCTGCCTTCAGGAGACTGGAGGGCCCAAAGAAGCCAGTGACACCGCCACCCCCTACCGGACCCCTCCGCAGACACGGATTGTGGTGATCACCTCTGGCTACAGAAGCCACGTTGCTTGGTCCAATATGCTTACAAATATTAGGATGGCCCACATGCATTCTGGGTGAAGCTGATGAAGCCCTGGTCTGCAAGGGTTCTGCAAGGCTGCTCTCATAAAACAAGTGAGGCATGTGATAAAGATTTTAATGTACTTATAGACATAAGTCAGTATTTGTCTAACAGCTTGGAAAGGATTGTCTCCTCAAAACAGGGCAGTTGATCCCATTATTTTCTGTTGGTGGTTGGAGGGTCAAAGAAGAGAAGGTAATGTAGAATCTTCTCCCCTCCTGAGGGAGCGGGAGAAGCTTCAACGGCATTTGGGTAGCAGCACGGACTATATGTTGTTAGTGCCAATCATTTCCCCGTTATTGTCCCCAGTCTTCTCACTGCACCCACCACCCCCAAATATTCCCATTCACTCAGATGTGTGTTGGCGCCTAGTCTGGGCCCTGTGAGATGGGGTAAGAGTTCGGTGCTAGAGAATCCAAAAGAGGAACCAGATTTTTTGTTTTGCTGGTTCTTGCTGGAGGCAGGTCAGTGGCAGCTCCGCAGAAGAGGTACCTTTCACCTGAGACGGGACGCGCTACAGGTAAGAGGCGGCCCCAAGGCTTGGATGGAATTCTTTGGGGAGCCAGACCAAAGCCCCGCCCTGAACTGGTGCGGACAAGGGGAGGACCCGGGGGCGTGGAGGCGTCACGCGCGCAGAGGCGTCAGCCCCGGGCCCTGCCCTCGCGGCCAAGGCCTGGGCCCGGCGCCGGGCTGGGCGGTACGGCGGCCCGAACCCGGCTCGCGGCTCCGCGCATGCTCGGCCAACCGGTGTCGCCGGGCTCCCGAGGCGCCGGAAGCAGCGGGAGCCGCCTTATGGCGCAGGCGGGAAACATCGGCCCGGGGGCCGAGGGGCGGCGGGGCGCGGGCGCGGCCCCGGGACGCGCATCCTGGCGCTGGGCCCTGGCGCTGCTCTGGCTGGCGGCGACGTGGTGCTGGCCCCGGGCCTCGGGCAGCGCCCCCAGCCGCCGCTGGCCGGTGCCCTACAAGTGAGTGCGGCGGCGGGTGCGCGCACGGTCGGGGTTGGCGCTGGGGGCGGTTGGACGCTGTGTCCGGTCACGCGACGGTGCGCGGGCGGCGCTTGGTGAGGCTCGGAGCGCAGTTTGGAGCAAAGTTGAGAGTTCGGGACCCGCAGCGGGTCGCGCAGCCCTAGGAGGTTTCTTCCTCTCGGGACGCCGGAGCCAGGCTCTGGGCAGTCCCCAGTCGAGGAAGAAAAGGAGTAATGTTATTTTATGGAGTGACTTAGTAACTGATTTCTTGAATAGTTTAGAAAGACTTTAAATATCACATCTATTACTTACTTACTGCACTGTCCGTTATTACTGCGTAACATTTGGCACAATTTACAGCGTGACCAACTCGCCCTGGTGTGGCCGGGACTTCCCAATTTTGGCACTAAAAGTTCCGCGTCCAGGGAATCTCCTTCTCGTTCAGTCCCGGGCAAACTGGAAAGGATGGTCACCTCGTTTATCCACTCTCTTAAACTCAGAGGTAGGACGCTGGTCATAAATCGAGGACAAATGCTACAAACCTGCGAAGCTGATTTGAACCTTTAACCTGGAAGATACAGCCTAGGACTGTTAGCTAAACATAAAGAAAACTTGCTGTCAACATCAGGCAGGAGAAAGACCAGCAGCTTTTGAAAACACAAGTATTTTGCATGACAAAATAGGAACTGCCAGCTGTTGCCGAACCTAGATACTAGTATATTCTGCTCACTGAATGGTTTGCACCACTTTTTTGTTTTGCTCGATATACTACATGAAAAGAGAAGTTTGTGGTTGAAGCTTGTTTTCTTGAAAATGTTAATAAAATGTTTGTAAAAAGTAAAAATTATTCAATAAAACGAGATTGTAAATCTAAACTATTTGATTTAATGTTAGGGCAAGGTGTTGACAGTGGCTTGTGTTTCTTTAAAAGTCCCGGGTATTAAGTACATGCCCCCATCTAATCCCCTTAGTTGAATATAATAATATTCAACTTTATTAAGTTCACACTTAAATTAGGTGTTTTAAATTACCTTTGACCTAAAATAGATTTTGCTGTGGGTAAGTGAAACCTATGTGTTTTTTTAAACCAGTTAAGTACCTATAAAACAGTGTGCCGAAGTGGCATAAACTTTTGGAAGAGTTAATATTTTTAGTTAACATCAATATTTTAATTTCTTAAAATATAAATTTTTGTTGATGTGTTAGGATTGTAAAACAATAGATCTGGCTAGAACCTTAGGGATCTAGGATTCTTGGAGGATGGAAGCTGCTGTTTATTCTTCTTTCTCTTCCAGTGCCAGGTATAGGTGACAAGTAAGTGTCTTTTGAGCTGAATTCAATCACAGTCCCCCTCTAGTCCTATCGCTGTGACCTTTTCTTTGCCTGCGTTATTGCAGTCACCTCCTCGTGATGTCTCAGCTTTAATTCGGCCTCTCTCCTCACACTTCTCTAATTCATAAAATAAGATTCTATCAGATCTGCTACTTAACATCCTTTAAGCTCAGCCCTCCCCAGTTGTAGGATTCGGGGGTGGGGAGTGGGGTGGGGGGGAGTTACCAGTCACACTTTCTTAGTGACAAAATGACAGTCCCTGCCTTTTCTCTCTCCACTGCTGCCCTGAGGCCTGAATTCTGGTCTTCTGTACCTACTGGAGACCCTTCAAGTGTGCCACGTTTGTTTTATCATGCTTAACATTTTGTTTCTTCTGTCCTAACCTTCTCTGCAAGTGTATAAAACCCTTAGGCCAGGACTTCATCTCTTTCTTTGCCCTCCCCACCCCGACCCATCTCACACGCACACTGGGTAAAAATGATTTCTCCCTCCTTTGTGCCCCCAGGACTCTATTTCTTTAGCACCTACCACAGTGCACCTCATTACTTGTTTAATGTCTTCTCAGCTCCTACCCAAGGCTCAGTGAGAAGGGAACGGCATTTTAATTTTTGTTTCCTTCCTAGTATAGTGCCCTATACATAGTAGATTCTCAGTAAATATTGGTTGAATGAATGTTGGCTCATTATTAAGTAAATATAAACTGTATCCCACTAATAGTTATCTTTGAATCTTAATGTAAGGATTGTTTGGAAAATTAAACACATTGGAAAAATATTCATTTATTCTGTAAACATTTGTATGTGTCTACTATGATAAGGTCTGGAGCTATAAATATTTTAAGACATGTCCCTGCCTTCAAAACTTGTCACAATGGGAGCGAGAAACAGGGAAACTTGCATTTATCAAAGTACAGTTTATCATTTGCTATTAAAGACATCATTGGAAGTTCACAGGATAACAAATAAAATGTAAGTTTATTCACTATGGTCTGAACTTTGACTGTTTTCCCTAAGAATGTTCCTGACAATGCATTTAAAATCTTTATTCAGAAATGTGTGAGAAGAACTAAATTCCCGTTAGAATCTAAGTTGATGGTTTCTTTTTCTTTATTAGACGCTTTTCCTTCCGTCCAGAACCAGATCCTTACTGTCAGGCCAAGTACACTTTCTGTCCAACTGGCTCACCTGTCCCAGTTATGAAGGGTGATGATGTCATCGACGTCTTCCGATTACAAGCCCCGGTATGGGAATTTAAATATGGAGATCTCCTGGGACACTTGGTAAGGATGCATCTTGATCTTGTAACTTTGGTTAAATGATTGGCTGTTAAGTTGATTTGAGGGAGTAATCACTATCAAATGGCTGGTTTTAGATCATGTTTATTGCTGTTCCTATTAGCGTATTTAAAATGAGCAGTCAAAAATAGTTATTTCCAGTTTTTGTAATCTTGACAATAACAAATGTAATTATTTTAGTTCCTTTTGATATTGTGAATCTGAACCCTCCTCCTATACCCAGCTCCTGGAAAGTGAGAGGGAAGGGGCCAGGCGGGGAGGGAGCGTCTCTTGATTTCCAGGCCCTGTTGTAGGCTCTTTTCCAGGTTGGGTCATCACCTTGTGAGGTATATAGAGTTCCTCCCTGAGACTGTGGCATGGAGGCTTCTCATACTTACTCTAAGCTGTAAGGAAATTACGAGCATGCCCACATAGCATACTTCCCTCCTATTTGAGATGAGCTGCAGTGGCCAAAGCCAGAGTGGACGAGGGCCCGGAGTTCGTGTGGCTACAGAGTGAACGTGAGAATAGCAACACAGGGGAGGAACAGCTAAACAGTTAATTCTGTGTGATGTGCCACAATTTCTCCTATCAGGTTACCTGGACCCATGGTTACTTCACAAATTTTTATACATATATTATCTTTACACAGAAAATTATGCACGATGCCATTGGTTTCAGGAGTAAATTAACTGGCAAGAACTACACAATGGAATGGTATGAACTTTTCCAACTTGGCAACTGCACATTTCCCCATATGCGACCTGAAATGAATGCCCCTTTCTGGTGTAATCAAGGGGCTGCCTGCTTTTTTGAAGGAATTGATGATACTCACTGGAAGGAAAATGGAACATTAGTTCTAGTAGCGACCATATCAGGTAAGTTTCAGAAATATGGCAGTATTTGATGATTGCATCCAAATCCAAATGAAAGAAATCACAGTACTTCCACTGAGGATATGTTAATGGTAAACTGTATCTGAAAAAAAATTTTTAGTGATGATAAATTCAAATATTTTTATGTTGAAAAATAACAGTTACTACTCATATAGACTTTGGACACTGTTCTGAGTGCTGTACACATATCACATCATTTATCATCACAACTCCCTGAGAGTTACTGTTATTTTTTCCATTTTATAGATAGCGAAAGTAAGGCACAGAAAGGTTAAATTTATACAACTAAGTAGGTGGGGCTCCAGTCCTGGCAGTCAAGCCCCTGGGGCCATTCTCTTAACCACTTTGGTACATTGCCTCCCAAAATGTATATACTCTTATACATTTGAGGCCCCTTTGAACAATTTAAATATTTTTTCTCTGAGATTTCCTGTTCTTTCCTGTATGGGTGAGTTGCTGAAACAGTTGAATTTTGCTGCATGTGCTGCAGTGTTGGTTAGTGATGAAAGGAGTTCAGCAGAACTTTCATCAATAACTTGTTGTGTGACCTTCAGTCACATTTTACCTTATCAGCCCTTGTGTAGAAGGGGGATGATACCACCATAGCATCTTAGAGGTAAGGACATTGCCCACATGATTTATAGAATACTGCGTTATAAATTGCTGTTCCCCAAAAAAGTGGAAACATCTGAAATGAAAGCATTGTTTGTGACAATAATTATTCAGTGAACTCCAGTACTTGAGAAAATGACCACACTTTCTACTTATATAGCTCCTTACAAATCATTTTGAGGTGTGTTAACTCACAGTTCAGTGGAGATGATAAAATACTCTTCTTCCTTCCACAAATAAGGAACTAAGGCTCAGCCAGGTAACGTCACTGACCCATCTCTCAAGGTCACAAAAGCTGGATACAGCAACACCAGGACTAGAACTGAGGTCTTTTAAATGTAACCTGGGGAATCTTTCAACTGAATACCCCATGCTGTTTTCAAATCTTTTCGCCTCCTTTCTAATCAATGTAGTACGAAGCCATCCGAACAGTACAAAAGTCCATCCCTCATTTAATAATGCTCAATAAAATCAATAGCTGCTCTTTCTTTCATTCCATGCCAGTTCACTTCTCTTTCTCCCTTTTCACCTATATCATTAGCTGAAAGTTCATCCTTCTGACATAAATCGATGATAATGTGAACAAGTATTCACTACTTTTTGTGACATAGTTTGTAACATACCAGTACTTAAATCTTTTAAGTCATCCATCTGCCTTGTGATTAGTCCTGTTCATTGACCTTTCTTCATGTTACAAAATAGTGTTTTAAAGCATTTTTATCTCTTACATACAACAGTGGCTTTTCAAAGTTGAACTAAGAAGAGTATCCCGAGTTCTAAGAAAACAGACTTTATATTATTCCACAATTTTAATTCCGTAAAATTGATAAAGGCGGCCACTCTTATTTATCTCAGCAAACATGAAGTATTTATTTTATGGACTCAAGTTGAAGTAACCAAAGAAAGGTTTGCACACAGTGACAAAGCGAAATGTTGGGGCCCAGCTCCACTTGGCATTATAAATGCCCAGATGAGGGTTGTAACATTCAGAGTACGGTGTTATCTAAATATCTGGAGAGATTCTTCTGGTTGGGTACAAGGCAGTAGGAGAGAGGGTTAGCCAGCCTAGGCTGTGTGTAGTCTATGAACTCAGCCAAAAACGTGTCCTGTTTAGTTGATTCATTGGAGGTGTGGGGGAGGGGATGTCAACAGCATCCCAGCAGCTGCAAGCCCAGGGATAAAGGGACATGCCAGGTCTTTCAGGGGAAGGGGCATGGTATGGGTTCCTGTAACAGTAGTAAGCCAGCCTTCTAGAGTAGCTGCTCCTCAGGCAGCCAGTCATACTTTGCGTATACCGACCATACTTCGCGACACAAAAGCTCCACATTTCATCTGCCTGTTTTTCTTACACCAGCTTTGCCCATTCACCGTTTCCTCTTCTACAGTTCTTTCTTTGCTTTCCTTTTCTCATTTGCCTCTGAATCCGAGATTCAGTGAGTAGATAGATTCAGTGTGGGGTAGAGCTTCTGCATTTGTGTAATTTCACTTTGACTATGGCTTAAATGTTGTAGAGTTAGTACCTGAGACTTGTCTTTGTACTTCAGAAATGCCTTATGACTTAAAGAATGGAATAAAAATTGGCCAAGCTTAGATTCCTGTTGTGAAATGCAGGTTTGGAAATTCAAAACTATTGTTTACTCATGCGCATCATGGTCTTAATCAAGTTAGAACATTTTACTGAAAACTAACATTATTAGCTTTGATGTTCACATAGGTTTTTTTTTTTTAATTTTTTTAAACTAGGAAACATGTTCAACAAAATGGCAAAGTGGGTAAAACAGGACAATGAAACAGGGATTTATTATGAGACCTGGACTGTCCAAGCCAGCCCAGCAAAAGGCGCAGAGACGTGGTTTGAATCCTACGACTGTTCCAAATTTGTGTTACGGACATACAAGAAGTTGGCTGAACTTGGAGCAGAGTTCAAGAAGATAGAAACCAACTATACAAGAATATTTCTGTACAGTGGAGAACCTACTTACCTTGGAAATGAAACATCTGTTTTTGGGCCATCAGGAAACAAGAGTCTTGCTTTAGCCATAAAAAGATTTTATTATCCCTTCAAACCACACTTGTCAACTAAAGAATTTCTGTTGAGTCTTTTGCAAATTTTTGATGCAGTGATTATACACAGACAATTCTATTTGTTTTATAATTTTGAATATTGGTTTTTACCTATGAAATACCCTTTCATTAAAATAACCTATGAAGAAATCCCTTTACCTAACAGAAACAAAACATTCCCTGGCTTGTAAAACCTTAATTCTACTGCTCTTCTTTTCTCCAACCGCCAGCATCCCAGTTTTTCAGGGGGTGATTTTACATTTGTGGATTTCTTAGTCTTTCTTCCTTGGGGCAGAAAGATAAAATGCGTGTCAGCAGATTTGTTGCATATTAACATGTCAGGACTTTTCTCTTGGAAAGAAGCTGAAACTCTTATTATATTGGCCAAAGTGAGCATGTTAGGTGATCTTAATTTCAATTTCCAAGTCTTTGTTAATGTGGAGAATCATGGTTCATATCAGGTATGTAGGACTCAATATTTTAAAGTTGTGCATATGGTGTGCCCAAGATTTTAAAAATACCCTGAGAGATATTTTCATGGTGGGAGCTACTTTTTCTGGTCATTTAAGTTTTTTCTAGGAGTTTAGACTGACTTTACTGCTTTTCTAACCTTTGGATCCCAGTCTAGTTGCATTCCATTCACCTAACTTTAAAGATTTGTTTGAACACCATACCTGGAGTGGTTGTGCTTCTTTCAGATGTGATAAACAACAGTGTTAAAGAGCACAAATTTCTGGCTACCATTTTGGATCTAGCTAGTAACTGGCTTTTGTTTTTTAAGCAACTTAACATCTCTAAACCTTAGTTTCCTTATCTGTAAAATGATTCGTCTATTAGCATTGTAAAGATTGAAGTCGTATGTGTTTGGCATAGTAAGGTCATAATGAATGGTAGCTATAATGATTAATCAAAGAACAAATTGTCATCCTTGATCTTGCCTAATGTAGTTTGTGGGCCAGCCTTTCCTGGGTTTGTAATCACCTGGACCGAGCTGGTAGTGTAGCGCTTCAGCGATTCTTCAAACATTTGGAGCATCGAAGTAGCTGGCTGCAGACATGTTTGGGTGAACAGGTACCTTCTGACTCCACTGCTTCCTGTAGTTCTTCCTCCCACTAAAGCTGCCAGTGCTGTGGAAGAGGGTGCACTTCCCAGAGATAGGACAGATTTTTGCTAAGGATCTCCAAGTAGCTGTGTTTTCGTTAGGGCCATCAAACAAGTTTTCAGGGTCCTTTAAGCATTCGATAATCAATTGAGTATCTTTCTATTCACGGAAAAAAACACCAATCAGTAAGATGATGGAGCAGAGATCAGCAAAAATAATCCATGTGTTATCTTTGGACCAGTATCTGTCAACCAAATGTTACTCATCTATGAAGAGATAAGTACAGGAAGCAGTTAGAAACTTTTAAAGAAATCTGTTGGGGTATTTTTGTTTCTGTTGGCTCTAATAAAAAATGTATTTTGTATTTCTTTGGTCTTATTTGTCTAGGAATTCATTTTTACTGTATTTTTCAAAACTGTAGGCCCCACAGACTGGAAATAAAAACCTAGTCACCACAGATAGCTTGAGAAACACTGCATTACACCATTCTGCCTACTATACAGAGGTAGTCTTCCTCAAATACATAAGGAAAACTTTCAGTGCTTCCCATTTAGCCTGTCTACTCATGTATAGTAGTGCCTAAACATTCCTAATTAATATTGCCTCTTTAAACTGCTGATTGTCTTCAGAGTATGTCACAAGAAAACTTGAATCTTAGCATTATTACCATCTAGTGGCTAAACTCGGGCAACACCAACTTCTACCTGATTCTTAGAAAAATTACTCAGGGAAAACAGTATTTTGGATTTCTAGAACTGCATCAGAGTGACAAAAAATTCTTGTACCAAGTTTGTGTCAACTATAAATCACAGAACATGATTCCATAGCAAAAACAAATGAGGACATCTGTATGTGGAACTTATTTTTATTATAAAAGCAACATTCGAATAGTTATATTTTAAAAAGCATTCAAGATTTTTTATTTTCCCTAAGAATATTAATAAATGAAATTTTGTGAAAGTACCACACAGATTCAGGTGACTATAGCACAGAGAGCATAGCATTCACTTAAGTACTTCTTAAGAATTTATCAAACCTCTAAGATGAAATAGAGTTTTCAAGTACAGATGATTCAAGAATATGCTTTCAAAACTATAGTTGGGAAACCAAAATATGGCCAGACAGAAATTTGCCAACTAAATTTTGCTGCCCTTTGTGCAATATAACTCAATATGATTAACTTAATCATAACATAAATGTGGTTTCTATTTTGCTGTTGTTATAAATGTATAAAATTTCCTCTAAGAAACCATTTTGTTGATTATATTAGGGCTTTAGAATAAATGATATATCCTCTGTCATTAATTGGCTCAATATTAGGTAAGTACACCCACAAAATACATTTTTGCACATAGAGCAAAACAGTCAAAAGGTGAAAATAACTAATAAACTTTAAATATTTGGAACCCTCAATCAATATTGGCTTTTTAAAAATAGGAAAGAATATACCCATCCCCCCCTCCCATCTGCCTAACACCCGATAAATGTCATTCCTACATGTGCACTTAGGTGCTGATTAGTGAAACCAATTTGCTGGTGAGTACATGTGGTGGTTATTTTTCCATTCTTAGGATATTTCACTTAGTAGAATGGGTTCCAGCTCTATCCAGGAAAACACAAGAGGTGCTGTATCACCATTGTTTCTTAAAGCTGAATAGTACTCCATGGTGTACATATACATTTTATTAATCCACTCATGTATTGATGGTCACTTGGGTTGTTTCCACATCTTTGCAATTGTGAATTGGACTGCTATAAACATTCGAGTGCAGATGTCTTTTTTATGGAATGTCTTTTGTTCTTTTGGGTAGATGCCCAGTAATGGGATTGCTGGCTCAAATGGTAGATCTACTTGTATCTCTTTAAGATATCTCCATGTTACTTTCCACAGAGGTTGCACTAGTTTGCAGTCCCACCAGCAGTGTATGAGTGTTCCTATCTCTC